ATTTTGTTTGGCTGGGCTTTTAAGCATCTTAAACTACAAGTATGCATTTTTAAAGTGATCTGTTTTCCATCTTAAGTATTAGTTTCTCTCGCAATTTCCGTATTTTCCTGTGCTATCTAGTCTACTAAATATTTAAATTTATTTTTTCATCACATTCCCTGAGAGAAGCAGCTTTAGTAAAATGCACTGAAACAACGAAAGGCCAAGAGCGAAACAGCAGGAAGGCCAACCGGGCACCTCTTGTGGTCTTTATTAATTGGTCTACATGCACACACATATCCAACAGCCCCTTTTGTCTGGCCTGTCAGAGGATATTAGCAGAGAATGATGCTGAAGCCACTTCCGGCCCCCAAGTGGACCTAGTCACTAAGAAAGAAAGACTCATTTACCAGAAAAAATTTTGCTATGTAAGTGAAGATTGTACAAGGCACATTATCTGGGCCTGATTAGCAGCGATGGAAATTGGTCCTCAATTTGAACAATCAGCGGAAAGGAACCTTCAGCTTTCACTGAAGACAGACAATCGCATAGACATGTCTGCGCTTTCTGCACAGTAGGAGCAGAGGCAAGAGCCCTTGCAAAGAGAGCTTTCAAATTACTTTGGCAGCAGTTGTCTTACATACGCCATTGTCCCTGTGATGCAAAGAAATCAAGACCTTGCTCTCTCGAGCAGCAGGATGACATCTCTTAGGACGCCCTGTGCCACAGGGGGCCACATTGTCCATCTTGGCCCCAGACATGGCCAGGCCACCTGTTTGATGCAGACTATCCTTACTCAGGCTTTGGAGCAGGTGTGCCTAGCTTTGAATGCTAATATGGCCTTGCACACGGTGGTTGGTCTCTTGGTACAGTTCCCTATCTGAACAACGATGAAGACAACCACCAACTACCTTGTAAATCATTTGTGAGAGTTATAGCAAGATAATTTATTTAAAAAAAAAAAAAAAAAGAATGCCATTCAGGGCCCAGTGGGTGAAGGCTGCCTCTCTGGCACAAAGTCACACGTGTTTCTGGAGCTTTCCTCTGTTAAGTCTCTGAGGAGGAAGCTGTAGAGAGGGCCGAGAATGAGTTAGTGGGTGCAGTGTTTTCGGTCACCCTTGGCATGGATTTTATCATTACAATAATAATAAGCCAAAGGTAGGACACTACTATGGGTGTCATGATCAGGTTTCCCAAGCCCTCATTCCTCCCACCATCTGCCCTGTGAGGAATTAAGCTACTGTAGTACTAGGAAAAAGGAACATATCAGACAGTATGTGAAAGCCCTTTGTTGCAAAGGAGTGAAAAGTCTCTCCCTTTCCAAATCTGGCAAGTGAGTCACTGCAAAGGGACCACACATATGGAGGCAGAAACTTGAAAATTTGATAGGGCTTCTGAAAACTTCCCATGCAGACCCAAGTGCCCCTCTCTGGAGACCTCCTCACAATACAGGAACCCCAGGAATGCCCTGTGCCAGAGCCTGCAAGCCTAGTAGACTAGGGTCTTGAAGGACACTATGATGAAATGCAAGACTCAGAAACAGCCTGCAGTCTAGCAGGGAGACAGATCAGCCCATAGCATCAATGCCAGGTACCAGGTGCAGTACAACACAGATCATACATAACATACCTGCCACCATACAGTGCATACATGAACATACATACCAGTCACATAAATAATCTGTGTCTCTGTAGTTCTAAGGACAATAGAGGTCTGGTGAATGTGGGACTGCTTCGATTTGAATACAAACTGATGTTTCTGGGAAAGAGTATCAAGTAATATTAAGTGCTAAGAAAATGAAGTGCTCTGTCTTTCTCTTTGGTCTCCCCTAGAACTGAGAAAGCTGCCATATTTCCAAATGATGACGAAGACCTATTCATTACTGGACACTTCCATCAAACCCTGGCAGAACTTGATGAAAACCTGGAAGGTAGCAGCCACAAGCCACTGTCTTGATAGGATGACCATAGATGTGGAAGTCACTTTTTCTGAGTACATTTTGGTATAACTTCATGAGGAGGAAATCTTGGAATTGCAGCTCATTGTGGAGGTGGCCTAGCTGTGAGGGCCGAGCTCTCTCAGATGAGGGTTGTTCTTGATGGACTGCTTTTCATTGGGGCTTCAAGCAGTACTAAGAAAATGTATAGTTGGCTATGTAAAATGTGTGCCAAATAATACCACTTTTGCATGGTAAAAAGCCTTCTGCATATCTTAAAGACAGAAATATCTAGAATATGCAAATAAGGTAGAGGAATACAGGACGACACAAAGAATAGTAGCAACTCTTAGGACTGGAGAGATGGCTCAGCAGGTTAAGAGAGGACCCAGATTTGGTTCTCAGCACCCACAGGGTGTCTGGCCATCATCTGTAACTCCAGCCACAGGGACTCCAGCGCCCTCTTCTGGCCTCCATGGGTGTTGCATGCACAGGTGCATCTACATACATGTGGGCAAAAAACTTCATACACATAAAGTATCATATACATAAATTAAAAATAGAGAAAAAACTTTAAAGACTTGAAACTCTTTCTTACTTGATAGTATATGAAATGTTCACAATCTTTTGTCCATGACAATATCTTTTATAAATAGAGCATCCATTAGTATGGCTGTTACTTTGATTTTGTTTTTTGAAAATAATACTGTAAGTCAAAGCAGATGCAAATAATTTCAGTAAATAAGTAGGACAACTAAGGCTACACTCTTTTCTTCAAGGCATGGCTGAAAGTAAACTAGAATGCAGATATTGATCATGCCTTAAAACAAGGAGGAAACAGACTATAAAACTGATCCGTGGTTTTGTCTGACTCACTTTCGGACTCTTCTCATCAGTGTTTGATTGGCGGAGCTGAGAATCTGAACCAGCTGTGGAGTGTCCCGCAGCCTTGACCACATGACCCACCACATCATTTAGCAGTCTGAAGAGTCAGTATAATTCTGAGGACTCCAAGATTTAGTCATTCTCTCTCTAAGACAGTAAAGCTAGGGCAAGTTGTTCCACATATCTTGCTGTGCTTCTGGTAGACACAAGAAGCAGGGAGAAACCTCAAGGGCACTTATTCCCGTGTTGAAAGCATTTTCTAGAAGGTAAACTTAGGAGTCTAATTTTTAATTGAATGATGTTAGCAAAATGTGGTGACGGAACGCCTCACTCTGAAGGCTCATGGAGCTGCAAATGCTTCTGCATTGTAAAATGAAAGTTGAGACTGACCCCAGGCATATACAGATTATAAATCAAGATAAGGTTTTAACAAGTATGCAAAAAACAGTTACCAAAGTAACACCAGGGAAGTTAGGGTTATGACCATGCCTGCACTTAATTCTGGCATGGGAATGCCACAAAGGGTGCCAGTTGGTGACTTGTGTTTGTCCTTCTCTGCAGAAATGGAAGAAAGTTATGAAACAGATACCAGCTCTCTAACCAATTCCATAAATGATATGTCCAACCACAGCCTGCAGGAGGCCATAATCCCTGATGGTAACCTGGATGCCATCCCAGTCACATTTATTGGGGAAGTCTCTGATGAGCCTGTGGATTTGAGGCTACTCTCCAGTAGAAACCATAATGCTGCTGCTTTTGATATAGGGGACGTTGCCAGCCAAGGAACTCACCTGGCCCCACTTCAGACTGAGCATAGCCAGCTATATGTAAAGGAAAGTCGAAAGGAGCCACACTCCTCTCCTCCTTCCCAGGATGTCAAAAGGACAATCCAGTTGACTTTACCCAACACCCCTGAAGATAGGATTCCAGCTGAAATGGACCCCAAAGTGACTTCTTTTGTTTCGAAGCTTTACATAGATGATCTAAAAGCAAAGTCAAAAGGCAAGGTGCTTGGGCCTGCTCACAGTGAGAAGACACCTGCCAGTCACAGAGTAAATTCCCAGCAAGTGAATCAAAAAGATGATGAGAATGAAAACTCCACCTCAGCACCACCACCATGGTCTCTTCGAGGCCAGGCCTCAGGGGGAAGCTACGGACTCAGGCATGGCCTCACAACATACAAAATTGTTCCTCCCAAATCAGAAATGAGGTGTTATAACAGGGATGTGTCCCTCTCCACTGGAGCCATTAAGATTGACGAGCTAGGAAATCTGGTGAGTCCTCATATAAATGGCCGCAGGATCACGTCACAGTCTTCAGCCATTGTCCATACAGAAACTCAGCCCATTGGAAAAGTCAAAGAGTTCTGGAAGAGCAGCTCAGTGGAAAAGCACCTGAACCAGTCAGCAGAGTCTACAGCTAGAACGCCCCCCTCCACCACCACCCATGCCACACCAGTGAAGCCACAGCAAGACAATGGACTCAAGGCAGCCCCTGCAATGCCCACACCCCAGCAGCAGCCTGCCTCCCAGGAATATGGGGCACACCTGGAGGAGGGGAAAAGCCAGCCGCAGTCAGCAGTCACTTGTCACACAAAAGTGCCAGCATCTAACAGCACAGAAGTCACATTCCTGAAGCCCCAGAGAAGGACATCCAGCCAATACGTGGCCTCTGCTATTGCCAGGAGGATAGGGCCTCTGAAAACCCATGCTGATACAGTGAGGCCACATGAGAATCCCGAGAAGGGCCACAAAGGACCAACACTGGCTGGACCACCTCCCACTGTGAAAGACAGTGCAGCTTCCAGTCTGTGCTCAGAGGCAGGGCAGCGTGAGCAGGACACAAAGCAGGACTGTGTCTGCCTTCCCAGCAACCCTGCTGTGGAGTTGCCAGTGGGAGACCATCCCAGAGTAGAGGTCAGCAGCCCATACTGGAAGTCGTCAACTCAAGACTGTCCTGCTGCTGTCCACGGATCCTCCTATTTCCTCCCAGTCAGATCTTCCCAGAGGGATTGTGTTTCTGTGGGACAGAGCTGTGGTTTCAATGAAAAGCAAAATCCAAGTAACCAAAAGACCAGCTCAACATCTAACCTCACTCAGGCAGTGGACAGGGTGCGGCCACCCCCTCTGCTTTCTACAGAAGCCTGCAAGTCTGGTAGGGTACTGGTGAATGGCTCTGCATGGGCCTCGGGCAGCAGTGAGCTTCCTCAGTCTCTGAAAGAGTCGGTCCCTACCAGCCACATCATCTTACAGACAGAGGAAAAACCTGGTCCCTTATCTCCAGATGTTCAAGACACAGATGGTACTTTGCCCCCCAGCATCTTTGGACCAAAGAAAAAATTCAAGCCTGTTGTTCAGAGGCCAGCTCCAAAAGATACATCCCTGCACAGTGCTCTGATGGAAGCCATCCAGTCATCAGGAGGGAAGGACAAGCTCCGCAGGGTGAATATGGTGAGCATCGGGGGTTGAGTTCAGGGAGTTCTTGAGCAGCACTTCTATATCTGTCCTAGATCTTTGGAGTGGGGCTGGAAGAGAGAAGAAAAGGGTAGCAGCAAGGTTTGCAGACTTCATTGTAACTGGGCTCTCTCTTCTTCTTCTAAAGCATTTGCATAAAACCACTAGAGAGTCTAACACTGATAGGTTTTAGCTTGTCAGGTTCCAGCTGCCCAGTGGAAATGATGTCAATCAATAAATGTCCATCCACTGGGACAGAGTAGCAGTGAGGTAGGGTGTCCCTCTTCAGGTCTGTATATTAGTCACCTTTGTGCTACTATAGCAAAATACCTGAACCAGTCAACTTAGAATGAGAGAATGAGGAAAGCTTTACTTTAGCTCATGGCTTGGAGTTTTCAGTTCATGAACAATTGGCACATTACTTTTGAGTCCGTGGTAGAGTGACACAGTATGGTGAGAACCTGTGGAAGAACAAACACTCCATAGCCAGAAAGCAGAAAGAAAGACCAGGGTCCCACTGTCCCCTTCAAAGCATCCCTCCAGTGACCTCCTATGAGGAACCGCCTCCCAGGAGTGCAAGCTGAGGAATAAGCCTTTATCAAGCCTTCTGGGGGCCATCTCAACACACTGAGATTGTCAGTAAAACTCAGGAGGACCGCTGTTCTGTACAGCCATGTGTTGCTTAGCACGGGGACACATCCTGGCACACATACATTGCGGTTTGGTTTTGATATTGCGCTTACATCATGAAGTGCTCTCACAGAAGCCTACACAGTATAGGCCAGCACTTGACAAGAGACACAAACCCAGATGAGCAAGGCTGCTGCTGATGCAACAGGCCTAGAAAGTATAGTGTAGTGAATGAGTAATCCAGTTACATAATCACTTACTTCATAATGCAGAGTTACAGACTATGTGACATTGTGCCATATTCCATATGTCTGGCAGTGCATGGGCTTGCTATGCTGGCATTACCCCAAACACCTGCAAAAATGCAGGGCAGTTGGACATTAGCATGGGTCACTGCAGTGTCACTAAGTGACAGAAATATTTAGTCTTGTGAGTCCGCTGGCATAGATGTGGGTCATTGTTGACTGAAACGTTAGGTGGCACATGACTTTATTTTGGCATCATCATATTGTCACTCTGCAGTAACAGTAGCAATTGTTGTGTGACATTCCTGTATTGCCACGTCATGTAGCACATGAAAAATATTATTTAATTGCTAAGCCAATGCTAATAATTAAGAGTTATTTCTTCCATTTTACACATGAAGAAACAGGCAGAGTGATACTAAGTAGCCTGATCCAGTATCACAAACTAGGGTTCTTCTTTGGGTTTGCAAGATTTCAACACACATGGCCAGCTAGGGAAAGCTGGGACAATAGCAGTAGTCTCACAGTAAGAGGTAACAGCTGATCTTACCCCAAATCTGTAGCCTTTGATTCTTCCATAGATGCCGCTCAGCTTACTCAGAGGTTCTGGGCCCGGTAACTCACGGCAAGTTGAAAATATCCTAAGTTGCAAGTACATTTGATACACTCAACCCTAGCTGTCCCCAGCCTTGCCTGCCTATATGTGCTCAAAACACCTGCATCACCCTGCATTTGGGCAGCAGCATCCAGCTCAAAGTCTGCTTACAAAATGTCAATACTTCAGTTAAGTTCTTGAATATTATGCCAAAAACAGAAGACAGATTGGTTGTATGGATATGTTTTTATGCTGTAGCTGTTGAAAGCTCTTCAGGGCCTTCTGAATATACCCGTAAAGAGACAGTTGGAGCAGAATTGATTTTGTAAGTCTCTGTAGATACGGAGTTAGCCTGTCACTATCCACAGAGTGAAATATGTTGACTCTGTTAATATTCTAGACTGCAGAACACATCTCAGAGGGAAGGCCAAAGAAACCATCCTACATGGAGGCAGAGAGTGAACGATCTGCCCTGCTGGCAGCCATCCGGGGCCACAATGGGACCAAAAGCCTGAGGAAGGTAAGGAGTGGGCCTCCCATGTGTGATGAGCCCAGATGCCTGCCCAACCTTCCTGCCAGCAGCCTGGGCAAGTGCTGCTAAGCTTCTATTACTTTGACTAGATGGTAAGCCATCATCAGGGCTGCCAACTCTACCAGCCTGTACATTAGCACCGTGGGCAGGCTCCCCACTCCAGGCAGTTGTCATGGCCACTGCTCAGATACAGTGTCTTTTCTGCAGGCCTCACTCCTCCTGATGCACTCTGACCCCAGGGTTAGAAAGTATGACCACTTAAGCATTGCCCACCCTCCCAGAATCATGTTGCTATGTGCATGTAGCACTGGCTTTTTCACAACTGCAGGAACCATGTTGGCTTGAGTTTAGGGGCAGGACAGTGTACTCAAGGCTTCCACACACGGGATTTGAGGAACAGTATGACTCATACGTAACCTGTGGTATTTTCAGGATAGCCTGTCCTCCCTCCCCCATAAATTCATTAGGTTGGTGTATCTGGTTTCTGTTTCTGTCTTCATGTGTGAAGAAAAGTTATGAGATCAGAAAGTTCTCTGATATGACTGACAGATATGGTCCCTTTGAGCCATGCCTTGGCTGAGCACAGGGAGAGGTGTGTAATCCATCAGCAGATAGATTTCTGTTTTCTGAGGGTGATCATTAAGAATCCGTTGAAAGTACACTGTGAGATGGTCAGCCGTGTGGGAAGCTTTCTTCCTTTCCCTTCCCTTTGTCTGAGTCTGAGTCTGACAGGCTACTGTAACAAAGCAAAGGTAACCTCCTAACACCATCACCATTGGGACTAAGGTGGTGCATATGGGAAGGGGGTACACGGGCATTTGCTCTATAGTAGTCGTTTAACTGTGTTGTTGCTAGGTGTCATCCCTTGCCTCGGAGGAGCTCCAGAGCCTCAGAGATGCTGCAGTCTTGGCCCCAGGTTTGGAAAATTCTCAGCAAGAAGACCCTGGCCTTCCACCCCCACCTGCCTTGCCATCCCCACCCCGTCCAGCCTCTCAGGCACCGGTAACAGTATCTAGGTTCAGCACAGAAACCCTCAGCAATGCGGTGGATGCCAGGCAAGCCTTAATGGATGCCATCCGCTCAGGCACAGGGGCTGCGAGACTGAGAAAGGTGAGCATTAGTGTGAGCAACAGACATGGAGATGCAGCAGACTGCATAGCCCAGCTTCTGGAGGGCGTTACTGAGGAGAAAGCTAGCTTTGCATGCTACCTGCCATCCATGGGTAAGGTGGAGGCTAAACCCATCTCTGTCTCCCTTATATCCAGTCAGTGATGGTGCAGGGACAGGCTGGGGGCAAATCCACAGTGGATTCCCTGGAGCTCCTGCCAAGGAACTCAGGACCATAGCCTGCAGCACCTCTACCTGTCTTCCTCTTTACATACATTTTTGTTGTTTTTGTTCATCTCTTTCCACTTAGGTCTCTTTTTGTAGAGTCTAATGCAGTTCCACACATCTGTTCCCCACCTGGACCCTGTAGACACTGTATTTGGGGCCCTGTAACAGTATTCCCAAATTCAGGTAGCTTCCAAGCTCTGTTTCAAGTCTAGACCACCCTGTGCATGACACCTGGATATAGTGGGTTATGCTAAGAACAAGGAAGTTAGGATATTTGGGATTTCCTGAGAAATTATTTCTACATCTTAAACTATGTTTTCACTGAAGATGTAGGATAAATTGACCCTCATTTTATATGTGAAATGAATGGGCCTCAGAGGATCCAAGTCACCCGGCTTTGGTCATACAGGGACTGGACTTAGCACAGAAGGTACATGTCACCCAGACTTTGTGCTCTATAGGAAGCAGGTCAACCATGAAACTGAGGCTGGGACACTTTTACATAGGGCTGCTATTGCCAGGAATAAGGCAGACAACGCCCCTTGTTTCCTTCTAAGAAGCCTAAGAGGACAGAGAAGAGGAGGGGCCCCTAGGACTTGTGGATGACAAAGGCTGTCACCCTGCTTGGGATTCTGTGGGCACCCGGAGCTCTGTTACCCTGTGGCTCCTGAGTGCCCCTGACCCTCAGCTCTTCAAGTTTCTCCAGGGGCCATTAGGCCCAGCTCTACATCAGTCCACACCTCCCCAAGCATGCCCTGGTTTGAGTGTGGTCGTAGCTGAGTAGGTGTGATTCTACATGGGAACCCAAGAACGGACATCTCCCAGTCTTCATGGGAGACACAGCCCACTTCAGGTCCCCATCCAGCAGCAGTGGAAAATGACAGGTTTAATGCTGACTCCTCAGGAAGGGGCACAAGAGCATTATTCAAGACTTTCTGGGTCTCTTTATGGTCTTCCGTGTCTACAGAATTTTTGTATTTATGGACGTGTTTCAAATGAGGAGAAAATGACAAGGTAGATGGAATGGTTGAAATAGGATCATAGAAGTCAGTCTGCAAAAGTCAGTCTTGATGGAGATGGCTGTGAGTATAGCCACCAGGTTCCTCTGGGCCCCGGAAGGCATTTCCCAGTGACAGAGTTCCCAAGCTGGTGGATCAGAGCTACAGTAAATAATGCTCTCATGCTCCCCAGACTTCACATTTCTCAACATAAAATCCAGAGGTGACATCTGCATCCTGAATCAGACTTACCAGAAGTTAGAACCCACAGGTCTTCTGTGTTAAACTGTTTATCAAAAGACCTTGCTTTAAGGTATGAGGTAATTATCCCATTCACATCTCTGATGCTTTGTGAATAGCGCTGAGTAGAACTTTATCTAATGTTCCCCTTCCTGCCATTTCAGTGAGCCAGACATGTATGGTTTGGAAATATTAAGTGGAAAATTCATGTGTTTTAAGTAACTTCTATTATAGCATATTGTTGTCAGTATTGGTTATAATTGTTAATGTCTTCCTGAACCTAATGTATGACATAAACTTTTCATAGGCATGTGTGTCTACTTAAAAACATAATGTACACAGGGCTTTGTATCCCCTGTGGTTTCAAGCACCCATTGGGGGCTCTATGGAGATGGCACCACTGACTTGAGGTTGTAAGCACATACCTGTGCTCACTGCTTACTGGCATCTCCTGGTTGGTATATGGAGCTTTGGAAAATAGTTACCACTTTCTCCCTCCTGCTGGGATGCAGAGGATACTGCATCAAGAGAAGCTAAAAACAGGGTCATGCAGCTAACAAGTGGTAGTCTATGCGTTTAAAACTAGGGCTTGAAAGAGCTTTCCTCTACTTTGCAGAAAGGAAAAAGAAATAAGATTGCATACAGTCTGAAAGAAGAGAAGATGGAAAGTCGTGTTGTAATGGAGCAGTATGAATGTAATGGAGCAGAAATGAATGAACAGGGAATGATAGGGACGTTGCACTAGATGAGGCCAGATGAGGGTTAGGGACAAGGAAGAAGCCAGCCAGTATGAGCCTAGGCTTGAAGTGGAGGTCACCACAGTTTGAACGTCCTTGCCAGAGGAGGAGACCAGGCTGTCATTTCTCACATGGTCTTAGCCTTCTGTCAGCTGTTTACATAGCATCTGGAAGACCAAGCTTTGATCATTTCTTGGACTGATCTACCTTATCCACCCTAGAAAGTACTGGTCAGTAAGTAGGATTTATATAGCATGTTTGAGGTTTACAAGGTGCTCTTGGGCTGAAAGCTTGGTCTTGAATGATGACATGTTGGCACTGGAGGTTCCTGTCACTCTCTCTGTCACTACCGTAGCCAAATGACATTTTTCACCTGCTGTAGAATGTGGCTTAGGAAGTCAAGATGGTATGGCCGATCACCATGAGCAGCCCCTTCCAGCCTCTCTCAGGGATGTGCAGGTGCTCCTTTGCTAGACTGCCCTTTCCTGGCTGGATTCCTAAGGGCACTCTCCTGCCTCTGTGACCACTGGCTTGCCTTCACATGGCAACTTTGTGTTGAGCCCTAGATCAGGGCCATCAAGGGAAATGTTCACAATTCCGGTAGTGATTTGTCAACTTTCTAACCAGCTGGTCAAATGTCACCTTCCCACTATACGTGGACTGCAGAAGTTCCTTTTGTCTTTGCAATCAACACCCTATAGTGTATTTTATGGCTCCGTAATGCCAAGCCACGTGCACTTTGCCTCTGACTACTTCTTTAGTTTCCTGTCACCTTTTGGTCTTGTAAAGCTATGCTTACTACTCTTCCAGAAAATACTCAAACATAGAGCTTTTGTAGCATGGGCCAAGCTCTCCACGGGCAGGCAGGTTTGTGGCTCTTCAGGCCTGGGTGTCCAGTTTGAGCTCCTGCACACGCACCTGGATCTGGCTCTCCAGGGCTGTTGGGCTGGGGGAGGTTGCGGGGGGCTGCAATGCACATTCCCAGATGCTTCTTGACTCCGAGTGATGCTACCTCTTCCTTTCACCATTGAGGCCCAACCCTAAGAACAAAAACTTGACCATCACAGGCAAAGCAGGATGACTGATCACCCTACCTGTAAGTTGGGTTTCCTTTGGGAAGATGATAAATGAAGAAGGGTTAGCTTGATGGAGAAAGAACAATTATTTTAAAATGACTGCACTGTTTTTCCAGGCAGTCAGAGTGACAATTGCTCTCACACTTTGAGTGGCATAATACCTGTTGATGGCTGCCAGGGCAAATTCCTGCTGTCTAGTTTCCCTCCAGCTCCATGAGGGCATGTGCAGCTCTGCTGTAGCCTCCCCAGACTTCTTCCCAGGACCCCTCTTCTACCCATGATCACATCTTCCTTCTCTCCATATTCTTCTTTCACAGTACAGGTAAAGCAAATCCTGTGCATCTGGCTGCCTTGGCAGATTTGGGTTAAATGCATTATGTCATGTCAGAGGGCCTAGAACACACACCTTGTCTCATCTTATCAATGTGTATGTGGAAACATGCACATGGTCATGTTTCCTTCCCTCTGCCTTCAGAAGAACTGCCAAGGTTCAAGAACTAGGAGAGCTACTCAAGGTAGACAGATGAACGCAGTGTTAATGTGCCTACAAGAGTTCTGTGCCAGAGAGAGAGAGAAAAACAGGAAGAGAACTTTTCAGAAAAATGAAGACTTGATAAACATCCTTAGCCCCTTTCCCTGCATGTTTTCTTTGGTCCCACAGGGGGCAGAGCAAGTCCCTGATCCATCTCCCTGGGAGGAAAGGCTGTTGCTTCCTTTTTATAGATAGGTAGGTGGGGTGCAGGTATTATAAATGACTTGTCCTGGCCAGCCATCCTGGGTCAGCACCTCCACTATGCCCAGACATCTTATCAGCTCCTAGTTGCCTTGGCAAATGGCCCACAAGCCACACTGAGCTGGCACCACAGGGCAGGGGCCTCCACAGGTGCCCTCTTTCCCACTGTAGGAGTCACACATGTAGACACAAGGTGTCTCTCACACACGGGTGTCATTCACTTGACCTTGACAAGAAACCTCATGAGAAGTGATTAGACATGTGATGCTATCAGGAAGCCCTGAGCCATGGATGACGAACGACAACAAACCTCTTCTCAGATGAAGGGAACTCCCTGTTCTAGGGACTAGGGAACAGGAGTCCGTGTCAGCATAGCCCCGACTCATGAGTAAAATTGCTTCACACACTGGGTCCCAGGTGTGCATTATGTAAGCCTTGCCATGTCTGGTTAGATTGGAATGGCTTCAAGGCGCAGGCAGTCAGCATCTTCCTTTGAGCTCTCCCAGGTACCTGCTGTCTTTGGAAATGGAGCTGGGCATGTGGCATGTGAGGCTACTTAATGCAAAGACCCCCATCAGGGCCTTCATGGATGCTGTTCCCCACAGTCTTCCAGCCAGTTTACACTCATCCTTTGTATTTTTATCATCACTCCAAGCTCTCCAAACATTTCTGGTCCCTGGGCTGACTGAGCTTTCCCACTTCATTGTCATATAATTTTTCCTTCCAAATGCAGACTGCAGTCCTGATCTCCCTGAGAACTGGTGTTAAGGCTTGCCCGTCAGCATATCGTCAGCTCCTCTCAGAGTCTCTGGCGCAGAGCGGGCATTCAGGTGCTGGAGGAGAACAGAGACAGAGTGCCTCATTCATTGCATGCACGCATCCCATCCCTCCTGGTGCAGTTTTCTGGCTGTGCACTCTCTATTTCATAATCATTTCAAATCTTGCCAGGAAGCCGCTTCAAGGCGGAAACACACACCTCTCTACTTTTGGGAAATAAGATGAGCTTTGGGCACCTCCAGTCTTCCTCCCTGGTCTGTTTGTATTGTCACCTGCCAGCCAGCTGCACCTTCCCCTGTGCCTTCTTGAGTGCCTGGGATCTGTCCACCCAACCTGGAAGAGAGGCACTTACGTAGAGAGTCTCCTGCTCTCCTGGCTGTTTCTTTACAGATCAGCCTTCAGCACTACTTCCTTATCAGACCTGTTCCTTCTGCTTGTCTGCTTCCCCGCCATAAAAGGGAATGTATGTACCTCGCCACATGCCCTGTCACATGCTGCCCTCAAGATGTGGCTTCATATACCCACAGCCTTGGGGCCAACAAGTCAGAGGCTGAAACCTCCAAATCCATGAGCCACAACAACCTTTCTGTACCTAAGTGGCAGTCTCTGGTATTGACAGTCACAGCATGAAGCACGGCCACACTGAGCTGGAACCACACAGCTCCATGGAATGATGCGGCAAGCGCTGACCAGCCCTTGTGCTGGGCGTCCTGTGAAATGACCTCAGCCTCCTTCTGGGAACTCAGCAATGGGGACATCACTCTCATTTTGCCAGGGGAAGATCAGGGATAAACAACTGTGAGCAGCTCTCATAGCTGCACCCACCTGGCATGTAAGTCCATACGCCACACTAGGAAGCCTACCTAAGCCTCATAATCATTTCTTGCTCTCACTTCCACTAAATCCAGTTCAGCAAGCTCCGTTTTTGTTGCTTCACAAACGTTATCGTTTGTTATGAAGAATGTCAAAGAGAGAAGTGGAAATAATTGGGTGGCAGACATCCTCCTATATGGCCAAGAGCTCTGATGGCGTCTTGCTGTATTTGTTTGCTCTCATCTCTGTCTACCTGTGGTAGCCATTGTTCTACACACTTTTTTTTTCTTCAGGGGGTACAGGATCTCCTCACTCTGTAACCCAGGCTGGCATGGAGAACATGGTCCTTCTGCCTGAGCCTGCAGAATGCTGGGATTACACGTGTGTAACCACCACACCTGACTTAGGGTTTTATTTGTATGTGCTAGTAGTCAATTGCAAACATCAGCATATGTGACCCAGATGATTTTTCCTGCATATTGCTGGTGTTCATGTTTTACTGTCGGTTTTCAGATAAAATATGCATAGAGTGACAGCATAAACACATCTTAGGGAAAGCATTTCTGAACTCAAAGATCATTTAAGGGTTCTGGATCCCATCCAGTTTGGTTATGATTATTAGTCTTATTGAGATAGGCCTGGACTCACTATGGAGATCAGGCTGGCCTCAAACTCAGAATCTTCCTGGCTCTGCCTCCCAAGTGCTGGGATTGCAGGCATGAGTCACCACACTCAGCTCTTGGTTTTGGTTTTTGATAAGCATTTCTGGAAGAATAAAACCAAAGCAGAAGTATTTATAGAGAATGTACAGGTGTCAGGACTTATGCGTGTGCATGCTTGAGAGTGTGTGTGTGTGTGTGTGTGTGCGTGTGTGTGTGTGTGTATGTGCTTGCTCACGTGTGCATGTGATTTGGGGTGACTTGGAGCTACTCATACCTCCTGGCTGTACTTGGCATAGCTTGCATAGGTTGATTGGTGAGGGGAGGGTCTGATAAAGCTAGAGGACTGCTAATCCAGAGCAGTAGGCATGGACCAATAGAATCAAATCACCGGGGAAGACTAGATGGGGAACACCTAGGAGGGAGGAAACAGTTGTTTTAAAACATGCTCAGTTCTTACTTGCTTAGTAAGAATCTCGTACTTCTTCAGCCCAGAAGGTAACTTCAGGGATTAGATTTATCATCACACCTGAAGCAAGCAAACATTTAGAAAAAAATGTGATTTCCAAGTAACTGGCCATTAAGCCACAAGGATCACTGGTCCCTTGAGAGAGATGATAGCAGATAGTAAGATATCCTGCACTGGAAACATCTGAGCCATGGTGTAGAGAGGGGACTGACAGAGAACTACCAACTCCCTGAGCTGCGGTCAGGGAGACAAAGGCCGCTGGTATACAGAGTAGTTGCTGGAAGAGATTGTGGCAGTGAGCACTCTGGAGGCCTGTGGGGCCCGCTGGTGTCCGGCAGAGCCTTGAACAGCCCATGCCAGTGAGGCTGGGAAGAAAAACACCTGTGAGGAAGGGAAGAGGAGCCACTGGAGCTCTCACGGCCTGGGAAGAGTGCCTGTGCATCTCCCTGAGCAGAACTTAAACCTCATGCCTCTGGGGCACTGGCCAGAAACTCAGAAGAGTCTTGCCTTAGCAGTGGGCAACAATAGACATTGGCCCCTATGCTGCCCCAAAATCTTAAAAACAAGGCTGGAGCTTGAAGGAAAGCACACTGGTGTACTACTGGAAAGTATAGGCTCCCCACTCTGTAAGCCTGCAAGGCTATGCATACCCTGGTGGGCTACTATGTCAGCATCCTCTATGGGACAGCAGAACACACCTGTCCTCCTTGGCAACCCTGGAGCTGTCCCTTCCACCTCTTCTCCAAGCTCCTTCCCTCTCCCAGCTTCTTCTCTGGCTCTAATCTCCATGGTATGCTGATGGCCTGACTGTGTCCTCTCCTACACCTTGCAGGTGGTCTTTGCCGTGCTTCCCACTTCCACTTCCGGCTCTGCCCAGCTCTGGCGCTCTGCAGGCAGGCTCCTCTGGGTCAGACTGATGCAGCTCTGGCTACAGCCCTGTCCCTGCCTCACCTCCTCTCCTCCTCCCTGCCTCACCTCCTCTCCTCCTCCCCTTCTCAGTCCCTGGCAGTGCCCCTCCCCATTTCTGGTGGCTATCTGCAGGGTTTGTGCTTGCTCTGTACAAGCAGATCTGCCTCAGGGACTTTGCACATGACATTGCTTCTGCTGAGAACTGAGGGAAGGAACCGGGATTTGACTGGTTGTAGATGTCAGCTGGACTGGACAAGGCCAAGCCCTTGTAAGGGGTGATGGAGAAGAGCATACACAGGACTGGCCACTGCACAGCCCAAGAGAGATGCTTCATGATTAGCAGCTGTTAGAAGGGCTGCCACCTAGACCTTCTTATTTCTAAGCTTCACCAAGCTTCACCAACAAGGCTGTCCAGAAAGGGTGGTGGGGGGAGGCCTGAACATGGAGGTGCCTGAACTCAACAGATTGTTACAGAGATAAGGGGTGTTGATCGGTCCTCATGAAGACAAAAGGAATTGGAGCCATGTGTGTGAGTGGTCAGAGGACCCAGGCTCTCTTCTTGCCAGGCCTAGCTGAGGTAGCCATGTGTGAGCATTTGACTTCCGACAAAACAAACTTGTCTTTCATTAGAAGCAAAACTAACAGTGCTCGTCATCACCACTAACTGTGTTCATCACCACCGGCATGAGCTGATGTTCGGAGAAGCTAAGACTTGTGCAGTGCATACTGGTATGGCATGTATACTGGAAACACTGTGTGTGCTGTCAAGGTAGTGCTGTTAGTGCTGAGAGAATCTGTGTCTTTTGAGTATTTGCTTTGGTTAATGCTCTGAAAAAGTAAAACACCATGCCAAAGTCCAGTCCAGTCCAGTTTAAAATGTGCTCTACAAGGCCAGAGAGGTGGTTCAGCAGTTAAGAACACTGGCTGCTCTTGCAGAAGACCCATGATTGGTTCCCAGCACCCAACCTTCTGTAACTCAGTTCCAGGGGGTCCAACACCCTCTTCTGGCCTTTGTGGATGTTGCATGACACAGGTGGCAAACCACTCATACACATAAAATAAATTTCTAAAATGTACTCCACCCATTGACACTCCAGGAATGAGAAAGTGCTCATTTCACACAAATCCTTTTCTTTTATAAAAACATGACCAGAGGTGCTAGAGACGATCCCATAGATCTGCATTCCTGTTATTGAGCTAGTAGAGAGCAAAGGCTCAACCAGCAGTGCTGGTGTGATCTTCCCTTCAAATGGAGGAAGATCTCGTGTGCTCCTTTATATACCACCAACACCTGATGTGCAGTTGAGGCACATGCAGCACTGAGTGAGTCCACTAGGGCTCCTGTCTCCAGGCATCCCTTCCTGAGGGACTGCAGGTTGAGGAGCTTGAGGGAAGGATGGGTGTGGTTCTGGGAACAAGTATCCATGGATTCCATGATGCTTTCTTTTTTACTCTCAAATGCAACCACAAATCACTGAAAGTTTTTAAGCATATTTGTATTTTGGAAAGGTTACTCCTTGGGACAGTAAGCAGTGTAGCTCTTGGTCTAGGTCTCTGTGGATTCCCAGAATACCCTGTACAAGGATGGGTGTGCACACCACTCTTCAGCACCCTTCACCACCTACAGAGAAGTAACTCTACCATATTCATTCACTTCAGGTACCTTTACTTGTATGAATCCTGGAAAGAGCTCCTGTTGTTGCAAAAACCACCTTACAGCACCCAGAATCATCACTCAAGGAGCCCACATGACAGGAAATGGACCCATCAAGAGTTGGAGTTACTTTCCTGTCTTCAGGCCAAGTTGCCCACAGAGGATTCCCAGCATTCCTGTGTAATGGTCAAAGCGGGTATGCTGCTTCGCTGAGTGGCTTGTGTGCCAAGGACATGTGATCTGCCTCGGAATACTCACAGTTGCCAATGAACTGCTCCTGTTGGCAGAGTGATGGGAACACGCAGGCTGGAACCCAACCCACACACTTGATTCTAGATATGGGCACAAGGAGTTCATGCCTTATGTTGATTTTTGGATCTTTGAGACTTTGACCACATGCACGTGGTTAAATCATTTACTTGTTTAAAATCTTCTGGACAGGGGCAAAAGCCTAAATCAACAGAAACAACCAAAATCATTTGCTACAAGATGCTGTTTCAGGGATAGGAAGAGGGGTGGAAGGCTGTTGCAAAATAATCATTGCTGCATGGTAAAGCATCAGATTTTTATTCCTGACACCTCACAGAAGATCTTGGACTGTGGTGTAACCAACTAACCTTTTAAAATTCAACACAAACTGCTGCTTGACAGTGTGGACAGGACATTTCTGGTTCCTCTAAAGGTCATGAGTGGCAGAGATTAGAACAATGGAAAGGTTGGTCAGTGTCCCACTTGGATAGCTGTACCCCAGCACCCCAGCACCCCAGCAGGCTATGAGGTGCAGCAGGGCAGGCCTCCCTGAAGGAGCCTGTGCATGGAGCCTATGACTTCACTAGGAGTCTTCCAAAATCATGGCGGGGGCCAAGGAGCAGGGTGCTGGGTGCCCACGTGTCACAGAGGGCCAGGCAAAGTTGTGCTGTGTGTGACCTAGATCCTGATGTGCTTCAGCTTGGTCCTGAAGCTGCCCTTATATTTACATAACAGTTTGGTGGCACATGGAACACAGTCAACATATTTATGAGATATTGAAGCTCAGCAGTAGTTTTGCATCTGTGTCTAAAAATTTTTGTTATATGGCAAAAAAAACCACCGAGAGTAATAGAAATCAAGAGGAGTTCATGACATAAAAATTTCTGCCTTAGTGAAAAAAAAAACAAATTGGGAATTTTTTTAATGTTTCACCCTGTTTGAAATCTGGGCATCAGGTAGAATGGGAATTTGGTATTGTGTGATTAACATTGCTAAACTTTCTCAGTGAGGCAAGAGCTACCAGCCAATTGCTCTTAGTCACAGCTGTCTGCTCTTTTTCTTGGTGCCACAAATAAATGCAAATCCAGTCCTGTAACTGCCATGTGGATTTCCTGCTCCATTGTATCTTCTGCCTGCAAAATGGAGAGATTAATTTATTCTGCCAAGAAACATTTTGGCTGCTATGTTAGTTAACTTTCCATCACAGTGACCAAACACCCAAGGTAAACAATTTAAAAGAGAAAAGGGGTTATTTTGGCTTGTGGTCTCAGACGTTTGGTGCATGGCTCTACTGCTGTACCTGTGCAGCACCAGCACCTCATGCACCTGTGCGGCACCTGCACATCATGACGTGGTGGAATGCAAAAGAGGACAGAAGAAGGGGCTGGGGTCCCCATACCTGCTTCAAAGGTGCAGCAACAGTGAGATAACTTCCTTCTGCTAGGGTCACCTCCTAAGGGTTCCATCCCAATAGTGCCACAGGCTGGAGACCAAGCCTTTAACGTGTAGGTCTTTGGGGGACATTTAAGGCCTAAACTTTAGCTGAAGCTTTCTTTATGGCTCTGCTTACTAGGTTTCGGTACATAAAATAGACAACATTCTCAGCCTCCTAGAGGTTAGACTGCAGCAGAGGAGATAGTCCTTAAGTCAAATAAGTAAGCAAAATATTGGATTTGGAAAGATGCTTGTTAGTGCTCTGGAAAAAAAAATCATCAGGATAAGCAGGTGAGAGACTCAAAACTGGGTATTAGAGAAAGGCCTTGATGAGAGCGTGACATCTGAGTAAAATCCTGAAGGAATGAGATAGTGTGGGTGGCCCTGTATGTGGCAGAGGCCGTGAGGGGCAGTCCTAGATGACAGGAACGTGGAAAACGCTGTTGTAGAAGATAGAAGGACAAGTGAACATACACAGCTCTCTGGCCTGCGATCCCCACTGCAGGCCTTCGTGACCTGCCTGGAGCCCCCTCTTTCCAGTGCAGTCTTGCTCCCCCACAGATGAGAAATCTGGTGGCAGGCCTCGGGGAGCAGAGGGGCATCCTTCCCTCATTTCCCTAGTGACTTTTTCTCATGGGATCAATTGAATGATAAATTTACTCTATTGAAATTGTGTTCTGTTCTGTACCTCACACCATGCAAACTCTTGGGTTTTAAGGCCTGAGTTATACACTAATGAAAGCCTCCAGGTTCATGCTGTTGTCTTCCCTAAGTTTTCTCACAATTACTCTTGGTTCATCTGCTTAGTAAATCTATATATCAAAATGCAATCTTCCAGATGACCAAACTGAAGACTAACCAGGTTCACCACATGGCTTTCATTGCAGCAACCCTCTGTAGCTCCCTGTTGCTGAGAGTTAAATCTGAACTCCACCAGTCTGTCAGACTCCTGGTGACCTCCATCTCCCCTGCCCTTCTCTAGTCCAAACCTCAACCCTTCCACTATTTCCTTTGTCCAAATCCAACCACCCACTGACTGTGCATGCACATTTCCTTATGCTTTGAATATTTCCTTTACCTGTAATGTCATAATCCTCTAGGACCCACTTGCTTCAACTGGAAACTCCAGCTATGTCCTAGACAACCCCCAACACCATATCCAGCATGCTCAAGCCACCCCACCACTCAACTTGATTCATTTCAGCCTCTCTTAACTCTGTCCCACACACCTTGCTCTTCATCTCTGACCCTCCTGACTGAGATGAGCCTTGAGGCATGCAGCAGGAAAGGCCTAGTTGCCTCGGTAATCTCAGTAGCTCTTGCTCTGGTCATCAATCTGGCAGCAGGCCTGCAAGGACCTCTCCCCATGTCCTTCTAGCCATATCATATAACATAGACAGAAAAGGTGAGAAATCCAAACAGAATGGAAAGGAGTCCAGGCTCCAAGTGTTTCCCAGCAAATTATGAATAGCATTCTGCATCCCAAAATAGGCCAGAGTGGTTGATAAATTCCATCGCATCCAGTATCAGATTCTGGTCCACATAGGCACACAGTAAAGATGCAGTGAAAGCTCGAGTCTCCTAGGAAAGCTGGGAGAGGTGGTGCTGACTGGAGACCATTCTGCCTGAAGTTTATCTCCTTTGTTCCCTGCCTGTGTATGGCACATTATGACCCAGAAAGGATCCTGTAGAGGTCCTCACAAGCCTCCTGCAAGGCTGGTGACCATAGTGAAGACTGCGAACTCTGCCCTGATGGATCTAGCTTCTAAAATCTGGTCGCTCAAGAAGGAAAACCTTTCTGACTCCCTAGGTTTAGAGGGTAGGCCCTCTGCAACCTGCCTAACACGTTCACTTTTCAAGTTTGCCTCTCAGTGCTGGATCCCAGATGTCCCATTGTGGGCATCTCTACTGTACAAATAGTGCCCCTGTCTGTATCCCTGGGAAGCCCCTCAATTCAGTTCCCGGTCTGTAAAACCTCTGGTTTGTGTGTCCTGCCATTTTGCCTACCTTGGCCATGACCCCTCTTTGCTATGTGTGTCTCAGCCTTGTGCCTGCATTTCCTGGGTGGCCTGTATCAGTGGCGTCCCAGTCAGAAAGACACAAAAACATGCCAATTGCCAAATTATTTTGTATTTTTCCCTACAGCTGTGTGGTTTGACCCACTGCTTCCTGGTAATGATTCCCTTACTACTTCTGAGTCACCCCAGCTTCCTGCAGGTCCAGCCTTTTTCTTACATACCCAGAGCCATCCACAGCTAGTACTCTGTCCGCTGGACTCTTGGAGGGCTCTACTGTCCCCAGTGAGTAGGCCACCTCCATGGGTGGCAGTTGTGCTGTATGCTGACCATCGTGGTAACTTCTAGAACACATGTCTGTTGGTATGGAACCTAAGAGAAATGAGTATAACATCACTCCATTACAGAAACAGAACACAACACAACACAACACAGCAGTCACCTCACCGTGGGCAGGGTCAATGGCTCTGTTGTCCTTTCTCATCCCATGTGCATGGTCAGACAGGGTAAGGGACTCAGTTCTTCCTACCTCAGTCAGTGCCTGGGTACATCCAAATCAGTCCATCCTGAGCACAGCAGGTCCTCCTGATACACAGTAGCACCTGCTAGTAAGGTGACAAGGGTGTGGCTCTGGAATTTGCCACAGTATCAACTTCCTTGGTTGGGGAGTGAGTGATTAAGACAGGGATCCAGGGGTCTTCTCTTCTCAAAGCATCCTGGCTCCTGAGAAGACTTCAGACATTTTCCAGGGCCAGAAGCCATCAGGCTACTAGCTGAGATCCATGGGGCTGGCTGAAGGAGCTCTGGCTGGGATCTCCAGCTGGGCAAAGGTGCACTTGTTCCTGGAATGCACCAGCAAGTTCCAGCCGCTGCTGGCATTTTCCCCAGTGTGCATCACTGGAGTAGAGATCCACCTACACGTTTTTTCAGATAATTGATTTTTGTTAAAACAGAGAACTGCAGTCACTGTAAAGGAGATTAGAATGGCCACCAGGAGGGAGTTGGACAGGGCCAGAAGACCCAGGCAGGGAGCACAATGGGCAGCGATGGTAATGGAGACCCAGAAAGACTGAAACTGGCAGAAGATAGATGCCCATGGGGCTGGGAAGAAGAGAGGGTGGGGAAGACAAGCAAACCCAGCCACTGCTAAGCTGCAGCTCTGGAGGGTTCAGACCTCAAGGCTTTGTTCTCAACACCCCACAGGGCACAGAAGCATTTTACATACCAGTTCCCAAATTCCTATACCCTCCTTCCTTCACTCCCTCTCCTTCCTCTTTTCCGTTTCTTCCCTTCCTCACATCCATCTTCCCTCATCCTTCTGTTCTCTCATGTACCATTCCTCCCTCCCTCCCTCCTTTCTTTCATTCCTTCTATCTTTCCTTCCACCTACTATTTGGAAGAGCTTGTCTGTGGTAAAAATCTCTTGTGGGTACTGGAAACCACTGCAAATTAAATAAGTGTCCCTGCCTTCCAACAAGCCCACTGGCAAGGGACCACATGGAAATGCCAATCAAAACTCCGACAAGCATCCTGTGAGAGGGAAGACACAGGGCAGAGATTGAGGGTTTTCTATGATGGGGGCAGGGTAGAAGCCCCTCAACTGAGCATCAGTGGAGAGCCTACTTGGCAGGTGGAAGGGGCAGGGAATGGCCAAAGGGCCGGGACAGCTAGGGCCACTCGGTTGCCTGTAGGGAGACTCAGGCTGGAGATTCCTCACCAGGGCTCAGTTCTACCACAGAGACATTCCTAGGGCTGGGGCGGCTGCCACCCACTCCTGTGTTCCTCTAGAAATACAAATGTGTTCAAAGCGGAAAGATCAAGGAGTGATTATGCTGGCACCTGCTCATGAGTGGTTTGGCCACGTTCCCAACTGGGGCATGTGCTGAGTGCGTGCAGGTGGCAGCAGCTCACCCTGCGCTGCCTGGCACGCCTCTGAAGTGGAAAACAATGTGCTGTGGTTGCTGGACTCGCATTGGACACCCTTCCTCCAGATGCAGAGACTTGCAGGCTCTTGGGGGGAGGCAGAAATGTGTGGTTTTCCATCCAGGATGGAAACACATACTGCTCAGCACCCAATCTCTAAGCCTGGCCTCACCAGTTCTTTGAGAGCAACTCACACCCAGACCCTGTGACGAGCAGAGCTGGTCTTGCTGTACGCAGAAGGCAGAGGACTTCCCCAAGGCTCAGCTCTGGCTAATGCCCCTGCACTCAGCTGTGGCCTCTCAAAGCTGCTGCTGCTGTTCAACTTCTGGACTGTGATTTTGTACACATTAAAGTTGAACAGCCTCCATTTTTCCAAATGCCCCATGTGGATTCACTCCCCCATGCTTGCTGTGGATTCACTCCCCCATGCTTGCTGAAAGCTCCTATTGAACCTCCAAAACCCAACTGCATCCTATGCAAAGCCTCCTTTAACCACCAACTTCCCTGTGGAAGGCAGTGCTTCTCATTACTATGGCCATTTCTCAATGGAGTCTATTGGCTTTTGTGACCCGGAACTCTGTGGGCCTCATTCATGTGTGAGTATCATGCCTGGGAACACAGGACTGATGCCAGAAGCATTTTTTTGAATGGTACTGAGTTTGCCCCAACAAGACTGGCAGCAAATTCTGAGTACAAAACTCCTGAAAGCCTGCTTGGCCAATGG